TCGCTTCCGTCGACGTTAAACGCGCGACTCGGAGATCACTTTGCCGGCTCTGATTAGAATTTATAATGTCCCCTGAGCAGCCAACGTAAACTTTTCCCCGAGATTTTCACGAGGGACGGGGGAGGGATGAGTCCGGTTGGTTTCCGAGCTCGGCTGGCGAACAATCCGCGGGGACAGAATATCAAGGGATCTAAAGGCAGCAGCTCCGCGAAATGGCATTCCTACGTGACAGTTGTGCCAAGCGCAGGAAAATCTAGATCTCGTTTAGCAGCCGAGAAACTCGACGATCTCCATCTCTCCGATCTCTGCCCCCCCCCCCCCCAACCCCCCTTCGCAGTTAATAACTCTGAGCGGCGAATAGAGTCGGCGAAAGGAGTCGGATCGGAATGCAGTCCATACAGGAAGTGACCGATCAACGACCCTTCAATGCTTTCGAGCCGGAAGTCGGTGCGATTGACGCGAAATCATTCGCGAGCTTATTGATACCCGATACTCTGCTCGCTTTAGATCATTGATCTCGTTATGGAAATGTGCAAGCCAAGCTCATCTTTTGCATGCAGGAGATCATCTTTGTTTTGGCAATGATTTTCAATTTCATCTGGAAGTTGTGGTTTCGAAAAATTATACTTATTCATAATTTAAACAAAAATTAGTCTATTCTGTGCTCGACTGGGTTAAAAGAAGATCTAAGGAAATAAAGATTTCTAACAGAATATTAATGATAGTACATTTTTACCGAGACATAATATTTACAGTATTAACTTTCACCTCGTAAAAATAGAAGTATATCGATACTTACCTTCGTTTTGAAAATTGTCATTCTTTACGTTTATATCGGGGAACTGTCAATCGCTGATATACGCCTACAAACGTGACAATCGGTGGATACACACAAGACACCGCGCGAGCATGCGCGAAAATGTCCACGCGAAAAGTGGAGATCGTCGCAATTGGCTGTAATTTACCGTTAAGGCCGCCGTGTGAAACGGCACGCAGTGAATAGCCTGGCTGTTTGATTGCACGCACGTAAAAACATTGCCATTCGCGATGACTCGTTTCGTGCCGATTCTTGGGAATACATTTTTCATGGGGGACGATTGTTCCGCGTTTTTATGAAAATCGCCGCCGGAGTTCGAACGGCTCGATGTTCGTTCGTAGCCCAGATCGTCGAGCTACGATATCGACCTTCTCTTTTAACCTATTTCTTTGGAGTATCGTTCGCAAAATGACAATACGTTTTCATTCTGTTTGATTTTATCAAGTTGAAATGTATGGAACCGTCCGTTTCTTTTCCTTCGAGTCAATAAACTTCTACTTTCGGATATTACCATTATATCAATGGACGTATCCAGCATTCGACTCGTAGTATTTTTGTTCCGGTGCAGTCCATTAGGTCGTAACGTGTTTAATATCAGGATTGACCATCAACCTTTGAGTAAATGCATGGAATTGTAACAAACTTCAACTGAAATATTTCGTGTACTGCAGCCTGATCTAGATTAGCTACTTTTTAATTAAATTGAAGAAAGATGAATACGTTGCTTATATGATAAGATAAAGGAAAAGTTGTATCGAATAATAATTGAAACTGAAACCAGGCTAGTGTCAGAGAAGTCTACCTCGTCGCCATGCAACACGGAATTTCTAATAGAATCTCACAGAACCCTCTATATCTTTTATACAGGTCATCATGTTCTTATAAAAATTGGCAGAAATATTGCTTGAAGTATGTACTTTTAACACACGTAGGCAATACTTCCATTAAACATTTACTATCTTGCAAAAAAAGTTCTCGAGTATTAACATTTATTCGGTCTGAGATGTGATGTATTCTCTTAGAGGATGCCCAAAACCAACTTTTTTTCTGGAATCTTTTTAAAGCTGTACCCTAATAATACAGGTGATAGCACGTACTTTTCAGACAGACAGAAATTATTTTCATCGGCCTTTGGGTATCGTCAGAAAAAATACCCAAATACGAACACGTTCATGATTTCGGCTCGAAAGGCGATGTTCCTTCTGAACGTATCGATCTACCAAGTGAAAGTAATTCGTCATCGAATGACGAATCGGAGCGGTGATCGATGAATGTATCTCAGGACGTCGAAAGGTCTTCGGAACGGCCCAGCCAGGGAAAGGAAGAAAGCCACCGATCGCGTTGCGCCAGCAGGCCGCTGCATTGTGCGCACCGGATCGAGTCGATCGGCCGGCTGTTGGTGGGCGATACGCTATTCTAAATAAGTTTAGCTAGCTGGGTTATTGCCCTCCGGTGAACCTAACGGCATGGCGGCCACCTAGCATTTGTGACATTGTGATTGCCGGTGCGCCGGCGAAGCCGCGAATGCATTGCGGTTGCACCGCGGCACTTCGCGGTCTTCCACCGGTGCACCACTCACACCTATCGAGCACTATTCGCTATTTACGGTTTCCTGAACCCTGATTTTTAATAAACGCGTACGTGCTTCCTGGAGTCGTTCGTCGCACGCGTTCAATCGCGCCTTTCTCACGTTTATTCAATTACGTTCCTTAACGTTGCATTAAATAGATCTTCTTAAATTAATTATGAAACTTTCACGAGTGGTATCGATAGGCTTCGATTAATCTACATTATTTTTTTGTACTCGACATGCTATATAAAATCAAAAAGTTATCGTCGAACAAATTTGTTTGATTTATTTATGTATACTCGTTTATGTTTCTGGTCTATTCTTATTTAACATTCGGAATTACCTATTTGTGTCTTTTTTGGTACGTTTCAATTGTTACCGTATACCGATATTCGTAAATGAATTTTAATTTGGATGTTACGATTTCTGTATATTAGTCGAAGTGTATTTTCTGAAGAGAATTACACCTTTCAAACCTTCTCAGTACAAAATACAATTATTTATCACGCTTTGATAAGCCAATTATTATTCACGAATTTCATCTTACACTATCTAAGTGAAATTTGAAAATTGAATGTTTCCCCGCGATTTATTCTCTGCACGTCATAAAATCCAGTTTTGTACTCGATCGATGCGAAATTTGATATTGTTTTATGGCGCACATCTACGTTTCTGATACGGCGTTTGATATCGAGAAACGAAGGGCCACCGCGCCGGAGGTCAGGATTCATGACCGATTTAATAACGGATTAGGGAACGTATTCGCGTACGATTTAATAAAGCATAGCGCTTCCCGTGGGCATCGGTTTTCGATAATTAAGACTCGGGCGCACCATAAGTGGCGCATCGCTGGTTCGCATAGATGCGTCCGGTGAATTGTGGATTCTCGGCAACCTCAATCGACCGCAAGGAAATACCGCAGCGACGGCGAGGAGCGTCCGGTAACGCCAGGAAATTAGCGCCGGTCCGATAATAAACACAATTATGCGACAAAGCGAAGGTACGCGGTGGCAAACACTAATTTGCACCGCAAACAGATCTCCTCGTCGTAAGACCCTGCATGAACACCGGGCCTTCCAACCTTATCCGAATTAACAGCTACGTATTACGCATCCGCTCGCGAGCCCCTGCATTTTTTTTTTTTTTTTTTTTTTTTTTTTGAGACATGTTGGGGTACTAATTTTTTTTATCTTTGAACGATTTTTGTAACGTATTTCGTTTGATTAATGTCAAGACAAGCTTGCACATTTATTTACTTAGCTATGGTTATTTTAGGAAGAATTTTTAAAAAATGAGTACGATGAATCATCGACCATAGATTATAATTTATCATACTAATGACGATAGTCAGACCGATTACGACAATCACAAAGATTACAATAATCGCCATAAGAACTTTCATATTCATAAGTCACTTACAAATTTCATCAGCAATTTTGCTAGTTCCTCAGAATACGAAAATATAGTTTTTCGACGATAAAAAAAATAATTCTATCGATTAAAAATAAACATTGCTCGACAGGACCACCCTCGTAACGAGATAACAATTTTAAGCGAGAATGTAATTTTTCATCGAGCGATCGCAAAGCAGAAAAATGCCAGACCGAAAGGGCAGAAATTCTCGAGAGGCCGTAGTTGTATGTAAATCTACATTGTGACATTGTCACCTCAATACTAAAAAGCACCAGGAACGAGGTAACCCCGGTTTTCCATTGTGCATTCACGTTCCCCTCCTCTCGCGTCCCCCGTAGCCCAGCCGAGCGTCGTGTAATAAATGCACGTTTGCAATCTGGGTTTACTAGCAGCGAATCCGTTGGCCCATTTTCAGGCCACTTTTCTGCCGTTTCATTCGCACACACTCGTTCCAACTAGAGGCCGCGCTTTTGTTTGCGTCTTTCGTGGTCTCCGTAAGTTCCATCAGCCCTGGCTCCCCAATTTGCCCGATTGGAGGCACGTGAACCCCGCCTCGCAGAAATGTTTCTGCGACATAAATCGTCCCGCATATTCGCGCGCACTGAAAACATTTTATGATACATCGCCGAGCGCGATTCAAAGCGATCGCTGCTGGGATTATTCATGTCGTTAGCCAAAAAGAATTCGAATTGAAAAGAACGTTGTACATTTTCAAATTAATTCTACGCTGCGCAGTAATGCGCGTTTGGGTCAACTCTTGTTTACGCGAGGTTCATTCACCTCTTGTTTTATTATTCGTGTTTCATGGCTAATTTATCAAATGAATTAGATAGGAACAATTATTATAATCATATTATATAGTAATTAGTGATGAAAATCATCGTGATGATCACATGTCGCAACTATCACAATGATTATTGCTAATCGTTACGATCACAACAATCACGACCATGAAAATCGTCACAATATTGACAATAATCACAATAATTACAGCAGTGTTCACAATCATCATTGGTCTTGTACTGCCTCGTATATTATACTTACAGAAACTTCAAATATTTTAACTACATCACAAATGATGTTCCATGCAGTGAGCATTGCAATCTCACAACTATAAAAATTAATAATATTTCATTCTGATTATTGCTGGCATTGAAGATACTTCCAAATGAACTAACACGAGTTTTGTTTGTATTACAGGTACCGTGTTGTGTTTCCATTACATCAGGGGTCGGCAAATTTTTTCTGAAGAGGGCCGATATTAAAAATGTTGGGCTTTGCGGACCAAGAGGTAATGTCGCGGAAATTATTCATAACACTTATACGTAACATGCAGGACAAAGTTTATATCGTTTTTGTATTATCAGTATACAAGAACGTTATTGCATATGAACAAATATATCAACGTTCTTCATTATTAATAGTTCATTATTAATCGATTGTAAATGTTCATCTTATTTCCCTTTTAAAAATCTCATTTTATCCAGAACGATGCAGATGAGCAGTGTAAAATATTTAAATGGATCAGATAATGGAAGTTTTTGTTTCCAATGGATATTCTCAAATTCAATAGATTGCGAATAATATAATTTTTTATATAAACGTTTACAATCAGTTTCTGATCATCATCAGGTATAGAAAAACATTAGGAAAAACTGTAAAAAAAAAAACTGTAAATATGTTTTGGAATATTGCATACAACGAGTAGAGAAATTGTTTGTATTTTTGTATAGACTTCCTCAATATGTTCCTACTAACCTCGCAGAGACATTGTTTGCCGATCTCTATATTACGTTTTATCTTTCTGAGAAAAGATTCCATCTATTTCTATCGATCTCTAAATTTTAACAAATATTTTCATAAATCGTACAACCGTCCACTCAAGCTTTATTTAGAAGAAATTTATCCTGGAAATGCACAAACTGTCGCATGCACAAATCGTACCCTCTCGCACAGAGTAATCGTTTCTGTGCGGTCTGTCGATTGGTCGTGCAAATAAAAATTAAAATGCCTACCTATGAGATTAGAATTGAACGCAGCCTAAGAGTTATGATGCGATCTCGAGCCGCCCCCTTCGATAGCAGTTAAGTTTCCAGCCATGGGCGGTCGAAGGTAAGTAACAGTGTTTGTAACAGGCTAACGAGATACCTTAAACAACGAACGGACCTATGGCTGCAAAACGCTCGCGTAAAATGCTGCGGTTACACATCAAGCCATCGGAACGATAATTGAAAGTGACCGTACGAGCACGGTCGGGCGCGTATCGGGCCAGCCAACCACAGCGAAGGCATCCAAAACGCTGGGCTTCTTTCTGCAGCGTTAAATAAAATCCTTGCGGTTTTCATGCCGATTTCACTACGGCATTCGATGAAGCGCGGCGCCGCACTTCCGCATTCCGGCGTTTATCGGGCTGCGCCGTCGGTCAGCGTACTCGGAAAGAAATTTACGTGCGTCGCCCCGTGCTCTGGTTTCCCCAGCCCCAGGGCGAAATTAATCTCCTATTAACATTATTGTCGACTCTCGGACGAACGTGTCCAGAACGACGCTGATCGATCTCTTACGAAGCCAAGGATCTTGATTTCTTTGGATAAAAAATCCAAGGTTTTTGTTGAAGGTGTATCTTTCTTTTTCCTTGGTTGAAATGTAAGGTTTTTTGGGAGTTGTATTCTACAGTTTGATTGACGTAGAATTTTCAATTAACGCGACAGTGTTCAATCGTAATGCATTTATAGGAAATTTGGATGCGCAAGAAGCTACAAAATGCATAGAGTACGAAATAATATAAAAAAAAAATAGTGAAAGTAAAATCCATATCGTAACATTTGCAGAGTAAAATAAATTCCTATTTAGGACCAAGGTACGTTTGCAAAAATGTTATTTATCCACTGTCTATAATCTCCGCCTATACTCGACAAAGTTCAAGTCTCGAATTCTCTAAACCGCGATGCCACTCTTCTCGATTAAAACAAACAACATCCAACAATTTCCTTGATCGATCACGACCAATTTTGACTTTCGCGTGATATAACGTGTTTCCTAACACGCGTTCCTGAAAATGACTCATTTTATCACCCCAACAAAACCGGAATCCAGGCTGAAGATTGTTGTCGAGCCTCGAGGCGACGCACGGCGTACGCGATCGACCGTAATCGGATTTTCCACGCTCTCCGTTTCGTCCGAGCGAAGAAACGCTCCCTGGATCGCCGCGACTGGCCCACCCAGGAAAAGGTGAGCCGCGAGATTTGATCGTAATTTATTGGTCGAGTTCTGTCCCAGGCGGATCGAACGGCTACCAAGTACCATACACAGCTCTCCGTAAGTAACGGTTGTTCCCAGCCAAAGATGCGAGAGAGTCGATTGTCGGCGATGGAATGGAAACCGTGAACGGTGTTATTTGTAACCAATTTCGCCTCCGCGATGCAGATGGATCGTTAACAACGGATCGTCGGAATTACGACTAGGAAACTATGCGTCTCGACTAGTCTGCGAAACGTATCTCTCGGTATTTAGCGTTGGAGAAAACTGGGAAAAAGATGGGAAATATTGAAAATATTGAAAATTATCGTTCCGACGAATTAAATTTGTTGAATTGATTAGATGGTGAAAATTACATTTTTCGTGTGCTTACATAGAAACTACTGATTAAAATTATTATACAATTAAAATCAGTTTATCAATGATCTTCTTTGCAATTTTGTTAAAGAAATTCCCATTTTTGATAGCCAAAGAGAATATTGTTTAAGCAGCTGTAAGGTTAAGTATCTTTAAAGTAACTGTTTGAATACTATTTCATTAGAAATGATACTTTGAATTTCAGAGTTTAACGCGTATAAACGCGATGAAAGTTCCTCATAAACTTAAGACTGTATTGGACACTTCACCATTACATTCCCTTTTAGCAAAGAAATTTCTAAATTCCACTCCTAGAAATTTCAACTTTCGAATACTCTTCGGTTGCGAGAACAAAATAAGCAAAATTGTTGGCTCTATCGAAAAGTTTTGATACTTTCGCGCATTCGAGCGTTATTTATCTCCTTTCTCATTGTTTATAAATCAATAATGGCGACATAAATCATTAACTGATAATAGGGAGAGGAATCAAATATTTTTACAGAATGCGAGGATAACATTGAAGTTCAGTTTGATTACAAGAACATTGTGTTCGATAATGAATAGAATAATAGAAATAGGAGCAAGTGATAATAATATTCTTAACTTGTCTGAAAGAGTGGCCATAAATGTTCAAAAAAATTTTACTCGATATTCCAAAATCATTTGTTCAAAATTTTAAGATAACCTTTTCATCGAGTTTCCCCTTAATCGCAAATAAGAACAAACTATAATAAAGTAAAGTATAGTTTGTAAAGTATTATCATCGATCTCGAATTGAAACACTTGTTTAATATATCTAAAATACTTCTGTTCTCCTAAAAAGCTCTTTTATATACCATATTGATATCAAGAATTCATCTCGCGAGATTCCACATTTTTGGCAACACTCTGTACATCGTCTAATGATCTTTCTACATTTTTGCGAGACTGCACACAAGATGCATCGCCTTATAAGGAAAGCTTCCAGTTCCAAAAGGTCCTCTATCCTTAGCCTAGACGGACGGCATCGCCTCGCTATTCCCGACAAAGCAGCTGAAAAATCTTCTAACCTATGCCGTGGACGGTAAAATGCTCAAGAACCACCGAGTTAACTCCTTCTAAACGCCGGGGCATCGAACGAACGACCTCCGAGTACTTCCGTGACAAGGGAAATCGACTGCGCTCCGAGGGTTATTAGTTTCTTCGAAGATGGACGCGCAAACAGCAATTCGCCGTGCAACTCTGATGCCTCGCGATCCATTTTATTGCCCCACCGAGTTTCTGCGCCGAACGACGGGGGGAAAATTATCGTTGCTCGTCGGGGAGTTAGTGGCAGCGACGGTAATTCCGCAAACGGAGTCCCCGTCCGGCGATACCAGCGATAAATTTATTATTTCCAGCCGCGGGATCGTCGACGGTTACGCGGGCTCGAAAAGACGTGAACGGAAATTCAAATTGACGACAGACCGTAGCCGCGGCGTAACGTTACCCGATAGCGGAATAACAGTAATCTCGGACGATTTATGCGTCGATAAAATCGAGACAGCGGACGCTCTCGACGTTTGAATCAGGGGCTCCCACTCGATGACATTGGAGCGAAGGTTTCAATCGAGACGGCGATTCGTTCGTTCCCCTCGGTCCGTGGCGCGAATTCAGGTCATGGCATCGCGTATACGCGTTATTCTCGATTCTACGCTTTCCATACAGATCGGACCGAGTCGTCGTCGACTCTTTTTCTCGAGCAAAACTGTGCCTCGTAACTCTCGCCACGCTCCGGTCGCATTAAAGGGACAAGGTAGTAGGTCTGGTCCATCGTAAAGTTTCTTTTCGAGAATTAATTGCAGAGGAATGAAGGCAAGTCCAGGTTTTCTCTGTTGGTAGAATGTTTGTATGTGTCTCAAAGCTTGGAAAGAATTTCTTTTATTCATGAATATGGACGATATACAGTCGGTGTAAAATGTATTCGTGCACCGATCAATTTCCCAAAAAATTTTTGTGTGAAATTGTAGTTTCTTAACTTCTTTTTTTATAAACAATATTTCTATCGATTAATTGTTTTTTCTTTCTTGTTAATTTCGCAACTTACATAAATAGCTATTTGTTTGTAATCTATCTATTCTAGAGATTTCCGAGAATATGTAGAATGTCATTGTTTATAAAAAATAAGTTAATAAATTACAATTTTACATAGCTTTTTTGGAAATTGATCGGTGTACAAATACTTTCTACACTCGCTGTAAATACCACTACTCAACAGCTTATCAAGGGGCCATTTTTAAGAAGTATTGGTTTCGTAGTGATCTGTGCTTTAATTATTTCAGAAACCCATTATAACTCTCTATAAATTTAATTTGATAAATAGTTGAAATACATGGAGCCATATATTATACACGTGAAAGTACCAGCAAGAATCCGACTTATTCGAATAAACTCACCGTCGAATTAGTATGGAATCGATCGTCGTAATTGATAAGCTTACAGCAAATTTCACAGAATGCAGATCGACATAGAGATTGTATTCGCGCGTATCAGCATTCTCTGGATAGTTATCGAGTTTTTTTTTTTTTAATGCTAAGAGACTAAAATTTTAGTTTCTTCGATTATCCATCGATCAGCATTTTTATCCAAACCTGAATATTTAATGTCATTACATGTGTTTGCTTAGGCTTGCTGTGAGAATTACCAACGATTAGTCGTCGCTGTACATGTATTGCAAACGTACCTGTATTCGAGACAGCTATAGGTGTTACTATCATTGCCACTGTTAGATAGTAGTGAATTGTAGCCGTAGATAAACAGCGTTGCTATCTGAATAAGTAAAAGACAATTGCTGTTACGTGCGCTATAGAGTGGTTGATTGGTACATTCACTTAACTGCGTAACATGTTCATTGGCGATAGTGCCGCTATACGAACGATCCCGTCTGTGATTAAAAGCGTAAAACCGAGGAACAATTATTTCTGGCAACTTCAGTCTTTGTAAAAGTAAACTAAAAATCGAGACGAAGATATGGCTGTGTCGATTAAATTTGTTGCCCCGTTTCTTGCGCTACGTATTTATAATGTTTTATTGTTATACACATCGTACGCGTTACTGTAGCTTTTCAATTAATTAATTAATTCAACAGTTTTGTTGTTTTTTTAAAAATATCAAAAAGCTTCTTTGAGAAACTAACATTTCTTCGTATATCGACTTTAATCAATTATTTCTTGTAAGTCTGAGGATGATTTTGAAACAAAAAATTGAGATATAAACAAATAATAGTTTGTCCAAGACTGAAAACACGATCAATTTTTAATTGAAATGCATGCCGAAATGTCTGAGAATTAGTAGCTTAAGAGACATCTTTTTTATTCGTAAGTCAGTAGTTTTTTTACGACCACAGATTTGGATCGACTCATATTTCTAAAGTTGAATGTGTCAATAAATGGTAGATGGCCTTAGAATTGGTAATGTCTCGATTAGGTATCGCGAGGTTCGAATTCTATTCATTCCTTTTACTCGTTACATTTCGTCCATTCAAGTCTAATCGGCAACCTTGATCAGCTCTTTTAATCTGCGGATGATTATCACGTATTGTCGAACGTCGAAGGCGTTCATTAAGAAATCGTTTTAGAACTCAGCCTTCGGACGAATGACTTTGATAGATGCCTACTAAGATTTTCTCGTGTCACTCAATGAAATTTATTAGTTGTTACATTTTTTTAGATTTCGAGAACTTAAAAATATAAGCACGAGTAATTAAATTGTCAATTAATCGTCTATGTCCGAGCATCAGACGAAGGCTTATACCTTTAAAATTTGTACCCACCATTTTAATTATAATCCCGTGTATTTCTTATCGTTGCTTCAATCTCAACGAAGTCTTCGCCAACTTGAAATTGTAGATTCGTCGAGTTGCCACACCACTCGCGCGTACATTAGGATCGCACATGATTGCCATGGTTTTCAATGGCGATATCAGAAGACGTTTTGTTTGGATAACGCGTGCCGCACGCTCGCGATTGTAGACGTTCGTGTGCGCAAACACGCGGACTTGTCGCGTATGCAGATGCGAAGTTCTGCACGCGAGCGAGTGTACATCTCGTACGGTATTTATAACTTGTTTAGAGAAGCATGCAGTATGAGCTTAGTCGTCAAGGAGAGCCAACGTACGAGCCACGGCTTCGCCGTGAAAATATAGTGGGCGATTGTCTTCCTATGGAAGTGCTCCGTGGAATGCTTTGGACAGCCCGTTTCGAATCTGGAGTAGGATGCAAACGTTTAGGTAGTGGCGCGTGTTTGCCAGGCTCTTTATTCCACTCGTTGACTTTTGCCGTTCCCGAGGAACGATATGGGTGTAATATGCAAACGAACGGAAATATTGTCACGGAAAATGTTTCATGGACCAAAACATAGTCGTTGCATATTGCTGCGTACGAGTTAACCGCGCACGCATGAGCCCAGTTTCACGTGATCACTGGTGCACGTGAGTTCGTCGCTTTCATTAGTTGCTTGCAAGTATCGTTGTTTGATATTCAAAATTGTTGAGTCGTTGGAGAGTGTGAAGATTAAACGTCTCGG